AGAAATTCCGGTTTGGAAATGGGATCATATTACTATGGATTTTATAACCAAATTACCGAGAACATCGAAAGGRTATGATGCAATATGGGTGATAGTAGATCGRTTGTCTAAATCTGCACACTTCTTACCTATGAAAGAGTCATATTCAATGGAAAGACTGGCAAAGTTGTATCTTGATGAGATAGTAACACGACATGGTGTTCYGTTATCAATTGTTTCTGATAGAGATAGTCGTTTCACTTCTATGTTTTGGAAGAGTTTTCAGAGAGAAATGGGTTCACAAATTAAGCTAAGTACAACTTATCATCCTCAAACTGACGGACATAGTGAACGCATTATCCAAACATTAGAAGATATGCTGAGATCCTGTGTCATTGATTTTGGAGGGTCATGGGATAGTCATTTGACTTTGGTTGAATTTGCATACAACAATAGCTACCACTCAAGTATTCAGGCAGCACCTTTTGAGGTTCTGTATGGACGAAAATGTAGAACTCCTTTGTGCTGGAATGAAATAGGTGAAAAACAATTAGCTGGGCCTGAGTTAGTTCAGCAAATTGCAGATAAAATTAGAGTAATACGGGAACGAATGAAAGTTGCACAAGATAGACAAAGAAGTTATGCAGATAAACGTCGGAAACCAATTGAGTTCCAAATAGGTGATAAAGTAATGTTGAAAGTATCACCTTGGAAAGGAATACTACGTTTTGGGAAGAAAGGGAAGTTAAGTCCAAGATATGTTGGACCATTCCCTATTATTGGAAGAGTTGGGGAAGTGGCATATAAGTTAGAACTTCCTTTAGAATTAAGTGGAATTCATGACACGTTTCATGTGTCAAATTTGAGAAAATGTCTATTAAGTCCAGATGTGGCAGTACCATTACCTGAAATTAAGGTAGATGAAAAGTTATGTTTTGAAGAAACCCCTGAGCAAATTACTGACTATAAGGTGAAGAAGTTACGAAACAAAGAGATTGGGTTAGTAAAGGTTCAGTGGCGTTATCATAAAGGAACAGATGCCACTTGGGAACCAGAATCGGAAATGCGGATGAAATATCCCTATCTTTTTGCTTAAGTGAATTCCGGGACGGAATTCTTTTAAGGAGGGATTATTGTAATATTATGGTATTAAATCAAGTTTATATATATATATATATACATATATATATGTGTGTATGATATGGATATGTGTGTATGGATTTATTTAAAAAAAATAATAATAAGAAAAGAGGGGGAGTCGGTTCATAAACCGCTCCTCACTTTCCTTTTTGGTGGTGCATATATATATAATTTTTATGAAGTAAAAGACAAACACAAAAACACTTACCATATTTAGTTTTACTCTGAAGAAATAGGATTGCACAAGAAGAAGAAGAAAAGGATTCCAAAGCTTTGATTCTCAATCTTTAAAAGGTGAGTGTATTAAGAGCTTTGGATATGAATAGCTTGCATACAGTTTGTTAAGCTTTTGGAACTGATTATTATGAATTTTGGTATCATTTTGTGTAAGTTCTTGATTAAACCGTACAAGTGTTTTCCAGATTGAAATCCGGATAACTAAACCGCCCATGCCTTGTCCGGAGTGTCTTATAAACCGGACAAGAGGTGACCGAATATCATCTAAACCGGCCAAGAGGTGATCGGTTTATTTCTAAACCTCTTGTGTGTCAAAAGGTTTGTCTATAAACCGGCCAAGGGGTGACCGCTATACTCTAAACCGGTCAAAAGGTTAAGTGATGTATTGTCCGGTATACTCTAAACCGGACAAAGGTTTGTGGTGTATCATCCGGTTTGTTATAAACCGGACAACGTTATAATTGAAGTATTGTCCGGACTTGTAATCCGAACAAAGATGTTAGTTATTTTCAAAGTGTTTTGACCGGATATGTAATCCGGACAATGATGACCGGACTTCAAGTCCGGATGAAAAGAGAATGTTTTGAGAAATGTTTTTGAAATATAATGACAGTGTAACTACGAGTGAGATGGCGGTGTAACCGCGAGTAAGATGGCGGTGTTACCGTGAGAGTGAGATGGCTGTGTAACTGCGAGTGAGATGGCGGTGTAACCGCGAGAGTGATATAACGGCAGTGTAACTGCGAGTGAGATGGTGGTGTAACCGCGAGAGTGAGATGGCCGTGTAACTGCGAGTGAGATGGCGGTGTAACCGCGAGAGTGATATAATGCCAGTGTAACCGCGAGAGTGATATTATGGCAGTGTAACTGCGAGTGAGATGGCGGTGTAACCGCGAGAGTGATATAATGGCGGTGTAACCGCGAGAGTGATATTATGGCAGTGTAACTGCGAGTGAGATGGCGGTGTAACCGCGAGAGTGATATAATGGCGGTATAATCCGCGAGAAACATAAGTATACTTATGTTTCGGAACATGTTTGATTCTAAACTAATTGTTTGGAATATATATTGTTGTATGAGATTATACACTCACTAGACCTTTTGGTCTAACGCTCAAATGTTGGATTAACCTGTTTTGCAGGACAGCGTGTCCAGAAAGATAAAGGCAAGGGAAAAGTCTAAATGTTGATAATTAGTTTGCTTTGCATATGTATTAAAGATACATTTTGATAGTTCATGTTTTGAAATAATACTATTTTAGTATTATGACTATGATGATGTGAATTATATGTATTTGGAATATAAGGGTTGTTTCAATTTGCAAGCAAGAACTTAAAGAACTCTCAAAACCATCAACCTTCTTCTTCTAAAAATCACAGGTTCATAACTCTTTTCTTCTTATTTTGATATGTTCTTCTTCTAAGAAACTTATATTGTGTTATTTAAGAACTTGTTCTCTTAAATAACTAACATACGAATTATTAACACATTCTTATACTTAGTTATAATCTAAAGTTTCTATACACTTATTTTTCTTGAAAAAGCCAAAAAAATTTATGGATTTTTGAAAAGAAGTTTGATCGATTCAAAACTTAAAGTTTATATTCGTATCTTGGATTTCTAACAAACCTGTTATCTTCTGTTTTTTTTATATATTACAGAAATGTCTGCCAAGAACGTAAATTTCTCTATTGACGAAGTGTCTTTCAAGCTTAACAACCATGTGGCACTTCTAGACATTACTGCCAATAAATCACACTATGAGGACGCTGTTAGATTCCTCAAGAACTCTCTGATTTTCTTTGGTTTATCTCATGAACCTGTTATGGTGAAAGAAGCCCTTCAGCAGTTTTGGCTTACTTCTAAAGTCAAACAAGAAATTGACAAGACTGATAAATAGGTGGAGAGATTCTTTTTCACCTTAAACAAGATGACTGTCAATTTTGGTGTAGCCACACTAAGGATCACTCTCCAGCTACCAAAAGTTCCTTATGCCAGTGAACCTTCCACTAAGGATATCATCTCCTGCTTTGATGATATTGACTATCACTGGACAGCAAATAAGGACTCCAACGATCCCCTCAAATGGCACTCAAAAATTGAGAGGAACCACATGTTAACGGTATGGCAGTATTTGTTTTCCCATTTCATTCAGTGTATGGGAGACAAAACTGGTGGACAAGACCAAGCGTCCAGAGTTGCATTGAACATTGGTGTTTCTATCATTCGCCAGAGGCCAATAAACTTTGCTAGCGTTATCTTTGAAGACCTAGTGCTGATGCTGAACAAGCGCCAAAGGCAAAAAGTGGCACCTTACACCAGATTTCTGTCTATGGTGTTTGCTAAAATCTTTAGCAATAAGTACTCCACGGATGGAAACCTGGCTATATACAGGTTTGGATCCAGAATCTTGGATCATAAGCTTAAATTTGAAAATGTTGCCCATTCATCTCTTTTGGACACCTCGCGCAACACACATTGCAGTACTTTTTCATCTTCTGCAACTGTTCGTGCATGTGCTTTTTCATCTTCTCCAACTGTGCTAGTATGTTCATCTTCTCCAACTGTGCCAGTATGTCTTTCTTCCTTTGCTCCGGTGGTCAAGACTATGGCAAACCCCCCTCACTCTATCCAACCACCACCACCCTCTCGTCTAAGAGATCCTCCTCTCAAACATCTCTTGGTTCTCCTTCGAGGGCCAAGAAATCCAAAAAGGGGATACCCATATCCCTGGCTGTTACCTCTCAAGAGGTTCTAGTCATTGAAACAAGCCTTACCCCCGAGGAAACTTCTGTTATAACCCCTCCTAGCTCTTCAGTGATTTCTTCAGTGACTGTCATACATATGGCTCCTCTCCCAACTGCCTAAGTGACCCAAATCACTAAAGATGTGAATATCAGCATACCCACTGCTGAACACCCACTTCCACCACTCTCAGCCATCTTCTCTTCTCCTCCTTCTTTGGTCTTGACACATGCTGATAATTCATCAGTAATTGTCCTCGCTGATGATGCAATCACCATAGATTCTGAGGTCACTCCTCTCGAGATGGCTCAGTCAATGGAAGCCTATCCTCCCAAAGGCAACAAGGAGAGAACTAGCATCAATCCTTCAGATGGTGCTAATGACCCCTTAGGTACTCTACCAACTATCCCTTTATTTCTTCTAACCCTGAGTTATCTTATGCTCAAACCTCTTCTTTTTCAGGTCCTTTCTATGAAGGATCTCCATCCATGGAAGAAGTATACAACATGGTTGGTGATGTAATGTTGATTCTCCAAATAGTAGAGACTGTCTTGATGAAAATGAACCAAGTCCATAAAGACATGCCTCTCAGGAATGACCTTTCCTCTGACCTTTTAGTTGTCAAAGTTGAAGTCAATGATGTGAAGGAACTACTATCTATGGTGCAAGACGATGTATGCACCAATGCTGAGGCTATCTCTCCTCTTAACAGCAAAGCCGATGAAGCGCAGGCTCAGCTTACGAAGCATGGGGAGATGTTGCAGTAGATATTGGATCTTCTTCGATGTCTGGTGCCAATTCGTGCACCCTCTTTCACAACTGAGGATCACCTATTGCTGGATCAAGTGGTCGAACTTGGTCTTCTTCAAGCTCAATTTCTGGTCGAGCTTGAACTGCGAATGGATATGACTGTTGTAAGTCTTGATGACCTCACCTCTTGTCTTGCTGATGACAAAGAGGGGAAGAAAGACCTAGCTGCTGCTAGGGCTTTGCAAAAGCCGACCGTACCTGAATTACTCGAACTACCTGACTGAAAAAACCGACCCAAACCAAATATGTTTACCCGAAGAAAACCGAAATCTGAATCCGATTAAGACATCGGGTATGGCGGATCGGGTAGGGTGGTTAAATCCACCACCCGAACCCGTCTGAAACCCGAAAATAAAAAAGGGGTTATTTTGGAATTTGAATCTTTGATTTAGGGATTTGCCAATTGCCATACTTGCTGTCGACCTGCCGTGTTGCCAACTTGCCTAAGCCTGTTGAGTGTTGCGCCCTACGCCGATGAGTCTCATCTTTGACTCAAACCTCATATTCTTTGGAAGACTCGAATGTGATATGGTCTCATCTCTGACCCTCTGCATCTCTCGAAGACTCGAAGTCTCCAACACTCTCGAGCGGTTGAGCCCTTGTGAGTTGTGACTCTGTGAGTCTGCGTCTATGCGACCTGGCTTGTTGTTGACGAGGACCACGAGATAACAGGTAACTCTCGAGCCCTTGTTGATTATTTGATTACCTTCTTGACTCTCACATGTTAACAATGTTAATGAACTAGTTGTTTGTAAATTGAGAAAAGTGTGTCTGTTTATGCACCTTTAGGCTTTGGGCAAATAGGTTTGTTAAATGTACAAGAGAGCTCTTCCCTTAGTTCTTGGTCAGATGATGTTTCACTAGAAGCTACTATTTTGCTTTAGCTTCAACAGGTTATGGAACATGTATGATGACTTTGCTTTTCTTCAACTAGATATAGTTTTAATGAAACGTCACATTGCTATAATACAAGTAGGCATGGCATCCATCATTGCATAGAATAAGAAACCGGGTCAAGTGGTCATTATATCACTATCATTTACAGGAGCATAAAGAAGTAGAAAACAAACCATGTATTTGGACTGAATATGATGCTGTTGAGAAGTATATATATACATATAAGATCTAAGAACTGGTGTTTTGTTTTCTTTTTGGCCTGTGATATTGTAACCTAATTTTTTTGAAATTGATAAATCACTTAAGTTAAGCCCTTTAAGGGGACCTGCCAAGCTGAGCCTCTTATCCACATCCAAACCATGTGATCTTCACCTATGTTGTGTTGAAGCCTCACTCAGTTGCCTTTGGCATTGATTTTTTGATTACTTGATTAGTTGATTTGTTGATTATTTGAATTGTTGATTAGCTAGTTGATTTTTTAATGGTTTTGACCAATCTTGATCAACTTTTGCCAAAACTGGTTTGTTTTGAAAAAGAACACTTTGTTGAGTTGCTCATTCTTCTTGTTATTAATTGTTTAGAATTATAGATGGAAAAAATTAGCATGTCTTAGTCCGAAAGTAACAGTCATCAAGCTCCTCCTTTACAATCTAATCCTACCGTAACTCAAATTGTTCCGGAAAGTACAAGGAAAAGGAAAACGTTAGAATCCAAATCTCATTTATGGGACCATTTTGAGAAGATTTTAAACGAGGATGGGCTAGTCATTAAAGGTAAGTGTTTATATTGTTCAAAAGTATATGCAGCTTGAGGCTAAAAAGCATGGTACTTCCTCTTTAAATAACCACATGTACGCTAGTTTAAAGAATCCACATGTTAAAGAAAACAAAGTAGTCCATTCTTGCATTTCAATCTTCAAAATCTGATAATAGTGATGGTGCTTTGACATCTTAGGTTTTTAACCAAGAGGTTGTTCGAAAGATATTAGCTAAAATGATTATAATGGATGAACTTCTATTTAGGTTTGTTGAAGGGAGGGGTTTTAAACAGTTTGTTGAAGTTGCATGCCCTAGATTTAAGATCCCTTCTAGATGAACAGTTAATAGGGATATATTTAGTATTTACTTTGAAGAGAAGATGAACCCTAAGAAAATGTTTAAGTCAAACACACAGTGCATTAGTTTGACTATTGATACTTGGACATCTGTTCAAAGAACCAATTATATGTGTGTCATTGCACATTTTGTTGATGATGAGTGGAAACTAATAAGAAGGTCATCTCATTTGTGCGTATACATTCACATAAAGGGGAAAGTATAGATAAGGCCACAGAGAGTTGTTTGCTTGATTGGGGAGTAAAAAATAGTTTCACCATCACAGTTGATAATGCATCAAGCAACGATATTGCCGTTGGGTTCACTAAGAAGAAGGTGGTGAATTGGGGTGGTTCTTCTACTAGGGCAGGGTACATACATATGAGATACATTGCTCATATTCTAAATTTGGTTGTACAAGATGGATTGAAATTAGCAGATACATCAGTTAAGAAGATTAAGGATTGCATTAGGTGGGTGAAGGGTTCTCCATCTAGGTTGAAGAAGTTTAGAGAACTTGTAGAATTGCTTGAAGTGGAAGAGAAAAGTTCCTTATATCTTGTTGTTCCAACAAGATGGAACTCCACCTATATGATGCTTCGAACCGCAATAGCTTACAGACAAGTTTTTGAAACGTATGAGAGTAGTGATAACGCCTTCACTTTGGATTTGGGTGATTCTGTGCCTTTATATGTTCATTGGTTATCTGTTGACAGCATGGTCATATTTTTTAAGACATTTTATGAGATGACAATTAGAATTTCTGGCTCACTTTATGTCACCTCAAATTCTTTCTTAATCGAGATTTCAGATTTGAGTTGCATTATTGCCGATATGTTACAATCTAAGTCGAAAGTTGAAGAGGTATGTTTATCTTCCTTTAATTTAACCTTTAATATTTACTTATATATTTGGTTGTTTACTAACTTTTTATTTTTGATTTATGAACAGGAAATGGGTGGTAAAATGAAAGAGAAGTTTAGTAAGTATTGGGGTGATCCGGATAAGATGAACTTCCTTATATTTTTTGGCAATATATTGGACCCTAGAGACAAGGTTGAGTACATGCAAGTCCAGCTTAATCAAATGTATGGTGAGGATCAAGGTAAGTCATGTTTTGAAAAGGTAAACTCTAAACTAAATATGTTGCCTCCTCCACCCATTAAGTGTGAGAATGTTCCTGTTAGAAGGGTACAATCTAGATTAAAGAGCCAACTAAAGAAGCAAAAGATGGAAAGTGGGGCTTCACTCAGCCAAAAGAGTGAACTCGAACATTATCTAAGTGAGTCGACCATAGATGATACAAACGATTTTGATATTTTAAGATGGTGGAAGGTTAGTAGTAAAAGGTTTCCTATCCTTTCGAAATTGGCTAGAGATGTACTTGTTGTTCCAATTTCAATTGTGGCATCTGAGTCAACTTTTAGTACTAGTGGCAGGGTCTTAGATAATTTTAGAAGTTCTCTATCTCCTGAAATGATAGAATCCCTTATATGCACACAAGGCATGCTAAGAGGCCCTAGTCAGCCAATTGCAGTTGAAGAAAACATAGATGATATTGAAAAGTTTGAGAAAGGTACGACATTAATTATGTATTCAGTATTTTTGTATTCCTTTTCAACTTGAATTCGTATATTTATATATTATATACTTCTTTTAATTTGTTTATATAAATGCATAAATGATGAATATGAGAATTGGAAGTTCAAGTTCTGTCACTGACCATGAAGATTCTCTTCCGGTTCCAATAGTTGATGTAGATGATCGAGAGCTGGATGATGTATTGTAGAAGTGGCCACTTTGAAAGGTATTTCTTTCATTCTTTGTAGAGCTATATAATATGATATTTATGGCCCTGAAACTAGAGATAATGTGTTGTGCATTCAGTTGATTTTGAAGTCTAAAACATGTTCATTTAACTTTCAAAGTTTACAGATTGCATGCGATTCAAACATAATGTCATTTTGTGCATGCTTGTTATAGGGAACAAGATATGCAACAAATTAACAACAAGACAAACTCAAGAATGGCATTGTTGAGTTTTGTTTCATTGTTCATCTACTAATCGGTGGCAGGTTTGCAACTATGGCATTTAAAGTCGTTTTTTGAAAAGAAGAAGCTCATTTAAGGGTTTTCTTTAATAGCATAGTTGAAAAGGAAAAATTGTGGGCATTGGTTGACGCTTTGTGTAGGTCCAGATTTGTAGTTCTAGACCACGTTATTAGTTAAAATGGAGAATACGGGATCTGTAGTTGTTGGTCATTGTTTACAATTCAACTTGTTATATCACATAATCGTTACTTTCTGGTGTTATGTGAATTTACAATGACTACCGGTTGTGAAACGGTGGAGATGCGAAAGAGGCCTATGGCTTGGCATGTGGTCATCTTTTTGAACTTGCTGTTACCATTTTAATTTTGATTGCTGTTACCATTTTTGAACTTGTTGTTACCATTTTGAATGCGCTGTTACCATATCTTTCTGATATGGGATTGCTGTTACCATTTTGAATATGCTATTACCATATCTTTCTGTGTTTTATGGGTGGAAGGCATCTCACTCGAACCACACCCGAACCCGAGGTGCCCTAAACCCGATATGACCCGAACCCTGAACTGCATGTTCTGGATTATGCTTTTGTACCCCAAAATCTGATCGGATTAACCCTTATAGGGTCTGATCTGATCTGACCCGACCTGTGCACAACCCTAGTTGCTGCTGTCCCTACAACACCACTGGATGCTGATGCTCAAGTTGAAAAGGCTGAAGAAAATGAAGCTGATGCCATCACTTCCCATGAAGCTGAAGTTGTTGCTGAAGATGAGGAAACTGATGATGCTGTCATAGCTAATCTTCAAGATGAAGACCTTCCTATCACCTTTGCAGCTAATGCTGGTGATAAGGAAGATGAAGATGATGATGACGATGAAGATGATGATCCTCCTTCCTTTCCCGATGCTGGAAAAGATCTTGGTGGTGATGACAATGAAGACGACGATGATGAAAACTTCACAGTTCCATACCACAACAAACTAGCTAGCACTCTGAAGAGAGTCTACCTCAGGGATTCATCATCCAAGGAGGAGGGGGAGAAGGAGAAGGAAAACGAAAAAGAGACTCCTCCAAAGAACCAGAACACCTCCTCCAAAGACAAAGGTGTTGCTGAAGAAGGAAATCTGAAAGTTTCCTTCAGACCTGTCAATCCTCAAGAATATACTGAACCCACCAGGTTTGCCGTCGTCACTTTTCTCTATCAATTAACTTCTACTATTCCTTCTACTACCTGTGGTCGTCTAGAGGAATGGGTACCCGAAAACCCAACTTCTAGTGTTCCTAGCGACCAACAGATTACTCAGCTTAAGGAGTCACTCGACCAAACTAGAGTAAAAATTCCTCCTCATACCTCTAGTTGTGGTGAGTTCGACTTCCTTACAGAAGCTGAAAGACTCGAAGCACTCAAGGTTGAGGAAGAACTTCAAATTCAATGACAACAGACTGAGGACAGCCTCAAGCAGGCCAAGTCTCTTGTTTCTCAAGTTCTTCCAAAGAAAATGTCTAAAAAATGGTGAATGCTATTAAGGCCCAAGCTAATTTGCTGTCAATTGCAGAAGCTGAACGTTAAAAAGCAACGAAGCTGAATGACCGAGACAAGAAATGGAGTGAATATCGCCTTAACAAAAGAATTAGTCCTCATCCCATCAATAATGTCGCAATCAATGGTCGTAAGAAAGATGGTGGAATGATTATCTCCATGCATATCATCATAGACAACCTTGACTCAGTCATCGAGTACTGATGTGCTAAAATAGTAAGTGTGCACACAGTGGGCATAAAATCCCCAAAGTGGCGG